TTATGTGTTGTTATTATGTAGTATTTTGCGTAATTAACAAAAAACATCGTTCACATACTTTTGTCCGGGTAGTGTATATTATTTATTAATAAATGTGTACATATACTGTATGTTAATGTACGCTTTCTACTACTACAAATACCATCAATTACAATATATATATTATCCATTAATAAATTATACTTTTTACCACACTACTGTTTTTTTTTTAAAGAATCAAAATTTAATTATTGCATTATAAAATATTTCTGGTCACATAGGACTACCCCATCCCTAAATCTACTCTCTATATGGATTGGACATATTTCAAAAGTTTCAAGTTTACCTCTTGTTTTTGGGTACCAGTTCTGATCTCATTCACACCATTTGGCACAGTAGTTCGTCAAAAAATCCTCCTTAAGGTACATGGGTCATCATAGAATTACTTGATGTGTATAAATTAAAAAATAATCTTTACGTTTTTAAATTTAAAAGAAAAGGTGGATTTCATATTTCTGATGCAAACAAGTATTACTGGAGCATGATTATTTGATATCTATTCCAGTTGTTTTTTAAGAAATTGTATAAAAAAAAATTCTCTAATACATACATTAAACGAACAAATCGTAGGAGAGAGGGGAATACAAATATTAATTAATATATTCGGCGACTAAATTAAATTAGATATAATGACGCATCATTATCATCATTATTGTAATTTCTGAATTATATCATCTTCAATGGACAAGATTAATTTAATCAACTATTGTTTATAATATAGGCGGAGGATTCATTGACATAAAAGTTTCTGGTGGGATACAATTCTCTGGTAAAAATTGGTTTTAATAATTAATCTTTTTTCAAGTCATTAATTTCTTCTGTATACATGCATATACACGTATAGGGTTGTTATTACCGATAAGAATCATATTAATATTAAATAAATGTGTTATACATCACTAGAATCATGAATTGTGAATTATTATTATTAATTATCACCACTACTGTATATTAATTAATAATGATTAGATAAGTGTCATACCTTTTTGATGATTAATATATCAGAAATTCTTATTATTATATTTTTAAATTTACATTCGTATATGAATGTAGTAACAACAAATTTGGTATAACTCAAAAGTGCATCACTCAGATAATAATAATATTAGAGCCATGCATAAATGAACATTAAAAGAAGAATTTTTAAAATAATATGGGGATAATGGTGAAGCTCTTCCCCTCTGAACACAAATTTTTAAATTTTTCCAAACTTAACTACTTCTTTTAAATTATCATTAGTGGGGTGTTCAGACTTATAAATAAAGCTCCTAACGGTTCGGTTCGAACCGGTTTTATGGGTAAACCGAAACCGAACTAGAACCAAATTTCTTGCATACAAACCGAAACCGAACCGAATTGATTTTTTTAAACCATTAAAAATTTAAATTTGATAGTGTTACCAGAATTAGAAATTCATTGGCTGAAATTCTTTAATCTACTTCGTATAACATTATAATTTATTTAACTTAAGTAGTAGATTTCGCACTTCAAGAGCTATTTCGGGATTAAATCATTGAATCGTAATTACACAAAGAAGTTTAGTAATAGCCTATTCATCCAGATCTACATAATTGAAAATTTCTTTATCATCATCAATTAATTATGCTCCCGAATATAATTGATACAATAGCAAAAATTCATGATTTAATTATTTTTAAAATAACAAATAATTACAAGGGAATAAAAAATCATTTATTCTTTCTCATTCTTTAATTGCCACCAGCCTTTTAAACACATAGACATTCTGATGGTTTCTGATTTTAGACTGCAGTGTCTATTAGAAACCAGGTCAGTCCCTCCAGAAAAAACATGCTCTACTGAAACACTTGAGCCTATTTTAAAATAAGTTAATCAAATCAGCAATAATTCGTATTCTTTCAACCAACAATCATATTCATTAGTCAAATAATATCTATTATAAAAAATACCAGGGATAGCCAAGAAATCTCTTGCCATATTAGAAAGGTGTGGGTATTCAACTTCATGTAACTATAAATTTGGAAATTAAAATAAATTATGATAGACATTTAATAAATTCTAGGTGTTGATATTATATATTTGGTTCTTTACCTTCCAAAAATCCAATACATCTGAATCAAAATTTATTGTTGAACTATTTAAAAAAACCTTCAATTCATCATCATGAGAATGTTTATGATTTTTTTGCATATGTGCGGCAAGCACACTTGGTTTTTTATCATTTTGAACTTCTTCATGTTGTTTATTTGGAATATAACTTTCCCATAATTTTTTTATTTGATTTTTGTAGATTTCAATATAATTATTTCCAAATTCATTATCAATATAATACACTATTTTAGGATGAGGATCAATGACTATATGGATAAAGAATAATTAAATTTTACAATAAATATATAAATATACAAAAAATAATAATAATATATACTGGTTGCTATGACATAAACAAGACCATCAGACATAGGATGATATTTTTGTAATTTTTCTTGAGCTTTCTTTGCTGCATCTACTACATTTGGCTGTCTATTTGTTTTATCAATAAAGTCCTCAATATTATCTATCAAATAATTGTAAATTGGAACTGACTGTCCCAGTGTAGGATATTTGTCCTTACTGATTCCCAGAGTGGCTTCCTTGAAACACTTATAATTATATTACAATAATTTAAAAAAAATTATTGACTGGCATAAATATTAAATATATATATTATTTGAAATTTATCACTATGTGGTGAAGAAATAATAATTAATACTGTTATTATTATTACCACTACACAATGGCAAATTGGGTGTTTTGGGACAGAATTTGATATATAGGAATATTACAGTTCTAAGCCTCTAGGATGTCA